GGGGCCACACTGGAGGCCAGGGGCCACATTATGGGACAGGAGGCCACATTATGGGCCAGGGGCCACATTATGGGACAGGAGGCCACACTGGGGGCCAGGGGCCACACTGGAGGCCAGGGGCCATATTCAGTGATGAGGTTTATCTTCCAGGGACAGCATGGTGGGTCTGGTTGCCCTGCAGGGTCAGTTTCAGGTTTGTTTTACAAATAGGGGGAATTATTAGACATCTTCTGGTGCAGTTAACTTTATTACATTAATATTTGGAGACGCCGGCTTATATGTAAATTTGATCTGTAAAAAAATAACAGCAATAATTTGGGTCATTTAGTCATAAGAGCAAAAAACTGAGGTTAATTTTTCAAAGTCATATTTTCACCATGTTATTTGTTTGCCACAGTTTCAGACTGAATCTTCTGTTACCAACCTCATTTTATCTCGTTAGCAAGACAAAAAATCATTTTAAAGCTAAATATTTAGTTAGATCTGAGCTTGATTAATATTTAGCTCATCTCAAATATGTCACTCTGAGCTCAACACTAAATAATTAGGTGTTTAGTTTTGGGTCAGGAAAGCTGGAGAGGGAGTGTTGAGCTAAGTACTTAGTTTGCAAAGTGTTTAGTTTGAAAATGTAACATTTGTAGATGATGGAATAACATGATGAAATATGTCTTTGGAAAATGAACCTGGATTGTTTCTACTAGTCGTTGAGTTGTTTTGCTGCAGATATTAACTCTAAACTCTCATCCACAGATGGAGTTCTGGTACAGATACCAAAGTGAGTAAAACTGTCATTCATTTACCTAGCAATACTCTTTGGTTACCTAGCAACAACCTGTTGAGTAACTTCTGCAGTGTCTCATAACCGCTTAAAAAAACAAAAGCAATGCAGAGAGAAAAGTGTGGATGAAACGGTTATCCACAGTTTGGCAATATTTCAGATAATTAAAACCACAACAACAAAAACAGTATAACAGTATTGATATCGACCGATATGAAGTGATTATACCGTAATTTGTTTTCCTGCCGTATCGTCCAGCCCTAGTTATGCCTAAAACCATTATGTTGCGACATGTTTTGGTTTTCTGAATTTAGAGCTGAATGAGAAATTTACCTGATCACATTACCTTGATAGGTATAGTAATTGTCTGGTGACATCATTAACTGATGACATCACTGCCAGGTGACAGGTCTACCTGTGTCTTCTCTCTTTGCAGATCTGAACCCGTGCCGCACCAACCCCTGCCTTAACGGAGGAATCTGCAGTCAGGACCGGGAGGAGTTTCTGTGTCTGTGTCCTCCCAGGTTCCGCGGGAAAACCTGCGACTCGGGTAAGAAACGAGCTGCTACTCGGATAAACAACACCTGTCGGCCACGACGTCACACACCTGACCTGCTACATGTGTCTGTGCCGTGTCTAGAGGTGTCGGAGTGTCGCTATGGGAACGGTGGCTGCCTGCAGTACTGCCAAGACCTGCCAGGGGGCGCTGGAGTTCAGTGTGGCTGTGCTGACGGATTTAAACTGGAGGCTGATGAAAAGAGCTGCAGACCAACAGGTAACACGCTACGTATACCTGGTCTAATCTGAAATAAACCTGGTCTAATCTGAAATAAACCTGGTCTAATCTGAAATAAACCTGGTCTAATCTGATCTAATCTAATCTAATCTGAGACAAAGTTGATCTGAGTCTCACCTGTCTGACGGGTCATTATCCTGTGTTGCACTAATTTACCTGTCTAATCTGTAATTCCCACCTCCTCCTGTAATCTGTCAGATTTTTCTGAGGTGAAACTTTCCATAACTGCTTTATTCTCCCATCCAGTGGAGTTTCCCTGCGGCCGCCAGCAGATGGCAGCGTTGCACTACGGTCGCTCCCTGTTGGATCTCCTGGAGGACACCAACATTACCATGACAACGGACCAGAACAGCACCAACATGAACACAACTCAACACAACTCAACAGAACCATCAGAGGCAACAAACTCAACATCTGGTTGGTCAACTTCAGTTATTACAGCTGAAACTGTCAGACCTGAACCTGCAGAGACACACAGTGACGGCTACAAACACGGCCTTCTGTCACCTGAAGGATATTTATAATGTTTCCTTGAACTGTGTTGTTGCTTAAACGTGCCATACAAATGAACTTGATTGATTGACTGGCAGGTGGGAACCAGACGGAGGGACAAATGGAGGAGAATCATTCGATTCGTATTGTGGGAGGAAACCTGGAGAGCCGAGGGGGAAGTCCTTGGCAGGTTAGTCTTCTACTGATGGATCTGTTCAGGTTCTGGTTGGTTCTGTGTGGATCTGTTCAGGTTCTGATTGATTCTGACCGGTTCTGTCCAGGTTCTGGTCCACAGGTCGGACGGATCCGGGTTCTGTGGAGGAACCCTGGTTTCGGAGCGTTGGGTTGTTTCTGCAGCTCACTGCTTCGAGGACTCAGCGGACCATGTCACTGTAGGTGAGAATAGAGCTTTATTTTGAAAAACCTGGCTAACTGGTTCCTGTTCCTGTCCCAGACGGGCCTACTGGACCAGAACAAACCGATGGGAACCATCAGCCAGTTTGATTGGTCTCTGTACTGACTGATTGGTTTGATGTCTGATTTACTGCTTTGATTTAGTTTTTGAGTGTTTTAAGGTCGTGCTACAGACTATCAATCAAATTTAAGTCTGGGATTTGACTAGGCCACTCTGAAACTTGATTTTACTTTTCTGAGCTGGAGGTAGATTTGCTGTTAGTCTTTGATGGTTGAAGTTTCTCCTTCAGGAATATTTACTAGAAAGTATAAACTATGAGAAAATGTTATTGAAGTCCACGCACACACAGGTTTGATTGACAGCACTAAGCCCCGCCTCCTGGCTCTGATTGGCTGTTTGCAGTTGGCCCTGAGAGAAGGCAGAGGAGATCGATTTTTTTGACAGATTATTCGTCTCATACTGTCACGACATGGTGACAGATTCAACAAATATATAAAAAATGTTTTTTATAAAAGTTACATTCGTTGTTTCTTTTTCAAGAGGAATCTGGTGAGACAGCAGCTCCGTTTACAAGCATCAACATTTACATCCAGCCAGAGAAACATATTTGTTTAGCTTAAAAGCATCAAAGCATAATATCATAAAAACATCTAATAAAATAATAAGCAACAGCAGTCATAACTGTGCTCATAATGTCTGTTTTCCTTTTCTCAGTTTCTCCGTCTCATGATTATTTATTCCTTTGTTTGTTTGTTTTTCAGGTGACTACGATAAAAAACGTCCTGATCCGGATGAGCAGAAGATAAAGATCCAGCAGATCATCGTCCATCCTCATTTCCACTCCTACACCTTCGACAGCGACATTGCCCTGCTCTACCTGGCCCGGCCGGCCCTCAGGGGCCCCACCGCGGTCCCTGCCTGCCTGCCGGACCCCCACCTGTCCAGATACCTGCTGAGGGTAACCCGGTTCCGGCCGTGAGTCCGGCTGATGGATGTTTCGGGTTCTGACCGCCTGTCTGTGTTCAGGAAGACACCCGGGGCGTGGTGACGGGGTGGGGCGCCACGCAGTACCTGGGCAGCTCCTCCCGCTTCCTGAGGAAGGTGACCCTGCCGGTGGTCAGCTACCAGGCCTGTTCTGCCTCCACTGAACAGGTGAG